AAAACTTCAAGTAAATCGTTAATAAAAATAGTAAAGGACCCAGCGTATTTCAAAGTATATTTTATATTACAAAGGTTGTAAAACTTTGTGATTCATAAATAAGACAAAAAAACAAGTTTAACGAGAACAAGATACGGCAATTTGATAAATCAGGAATATTGTGTCCAAAGTTGCCCCCTTTATTGTAAGAAAAAATAACACATTAAGAAATTATAATGAATTTGTAACAGTTTTTACCACTGGAGAACTCTCGTAGATTTAAACGCATTACCTCGTGAAATAAGTCAATAGAAGGTCAAGTCTAACGATTCGACTAACTGAAAATTGATGTTGAATGGCAAAAATTGTTGGGCCAACGACTGAAATGGTCAGAATGTGTCCCATATAGCATAAATTTCCTTTAGAATATTATTAAATTCAACATCCTTTGTGGCCTTATGTTGCAGTATTTTTTCCTTCAATATATTCCGAGAGTGATATTATCATATAAATAACAAAATTATTGAAAAGACATTCAAGAAAACACTTTGAGTAGCTTTGGGTTGACGTTCAATTAGATCTTGATTATGGATGGTTATCTTATCTTCACGGTTAACATCAATATCAAATGAATTATTTTGGACGACTTATTTTACTCTGTAAACTTACATCAGATTATCAAACGACGAATTATAGTAAGAAATGTATGACTTATTCTCTACAATTACTATCACATCAACCCTAAACTGATTATTGTATTGCTGAGTCGCGGCTTTAATTTAAGCCGCTTGCGGTGACGCTCTACAATTAATATTGTATCAATCCGTAACTGACCATCATATTGCTGCTCCATAAGATGAAACATTTTGTTCTAAATCTTTTAATTCTCGAGATATAAAACATAATTGTTGTTAAAATTAAGTTGCTATAATTGCTTAATGAAACAAATCCAGTTACAGAAAATGCATATAGAATTAATAACGAACATTTTTTATCTAAAACATTTTGTTCTAAATCTTTTAATTCTCGAGATATTAAATATAATTTCTGTTAAAATTAATGATTTTGACACTTTTCGTATTCACATCCGTTAAGTTGGTAGAACTGCTTAATGAAATAAACACGATTAAAGGAAATGCATTTAGAGTTAATAACAAACATTTTTTATCCGGAACATTTTGTTCTAAATCATTTAATTCTCGAGGTATAAAATATAATTTTGGTTAAAATTGATGATTTTGACACTTTTCGTATTCACATCCGTTAAGTTGGTAGAACTGTTTAATGAAATAAACCCAATTAAAGAAAATGTATTTAGAGTTAATAACGAACATTTTTATCCGAAACATTTTGTTCTAAATCTTTTAATTCTCGAGATATAAAATATAATTTTTGTTAAAATTGTTGATTTTGACAGTTTTCGTATTCACATCCCTTTACTCTGTAAACTTACATCAGATTATCAAACGACGAATTATAGTAAGAAATGTATGACTTATTCTCTACAATTACTATCACATCAACCCTAAGCTGATCATTGTATTACTGAGTCTCGGCTTTAATTCAAGTATATGTGTGATTTCAACAAATTAAACCGAAGATCGCTTGCAGTGACGCTCTACAATTAACATTGTATCAATCCGAAACTGACCATCATATTGCTGCTCCTTAAGATGAAACATTTTGTTCTAAATCTTTTAATTCTCGAGATATAAAACATAATTGTTGTTAAAATTGATGATTTTGACATTTTTCGTATTCACGCCAATTAAGTTGGTATGATTGCTTAATGAAACAAATCCAGTTAAAGAAAATGCATATAGAATTAATAACGAACATTTTTTATCTAAAACATTTTGTTCTAAACCTTTTAATTCTCGAGATATAAAATGTAATTTTTGTTAAAATTGGTGATTTTGACATTTTTCGTATTCACGCCAATTAAGTTGGTATAATTGCGTAATGAAATAAACACGATTAAAGGAAATGCATTTAAAGTTAATAACGAACATTTTTTATCCGAAACATTTTGTTCTGAATCTTTTAATTCTCGAGATGTAAAATATAATTTTTGTTAAAATTTGATGATTTTGACACTTTTCGTATTCACATCCGTTAAGTTGGTATAACTGCTTAATGAAATAAACCCAATTAACGAAAATGCATTTAGAGTTAATAACGAACATCTTTTATCCGAAACATTTTGTTCTGAATCTTTTAATTCTCGAGGTATAAAATATAATTTTGGTTAAAATTGATGATTTTGACACTTTTCGTATTCACATCCGTTAAGTTGGTAGAACTGCTTAATGAAATAAACATGATTAGAGGAAATGCATTTAGAGTTAATAACGAACATCTTTTATCCGAAACATTTCGTTCTGAATCTTTTAATTCTCGAGATATAAAATATAATTTTTGTTAAAATTGATGATTTTGACAGTTTTCGTATTAATACCAATTAAGTTGGTATAACTGCTTAACGAAATAAACCCAATTAAAGGAAATGCATTTAGAATTAATAACGAACATCTTTTATCCGAAACATTTTGTTCTAAATCTTTTAATTCTCGAGACATAAAATATAATTTTCATTAAAATTGATATTTTGACACTTTTCGTATTCACGTCCGTTAAATTGGTAGAACTGCTTAATGAAATAAACACGATTAAAGGAAATGCATTTAAAGTTAATAACGAACATTTTTTATCGGAAACATTTTGTTCTGAATCTTTTAATTCTCGAGATATAAAATATATTTTTTGTTAAAATTGATGATTTTGACACTTTTCGTATTCACATTCGTTAAGTTGGTAGAACTGCTTAATGAAATAAACCCGATTAAAGGAAATGCATTTAGAGTTAATAACGAACATTTTTTATCCGAAACATTTCGTTCTGAATCTTTTCATTCTCGAGATATAAAATATAATTTTTGTTAAAATTGATGATTTTGACACTTTTCGTATTTACATCCGTTAAGTTGGTAGAACTGTTTAATGAAATAAATACGATTACAGGAAATGCATTTAGAATTAATAACGAACATTTTTTATCCGAAACATTCCGTTCTGAATCTTTTCATTTTCGAGATATAAAATATAATTTGTGTTAAAATTGATGATTTTGACACTTTTCGTATTCACATCCGTTAAGTTGATAGAACTGCTTAATGAAATAAACATGATTAGAGGAAATGCATTTAGAGTTAATAACGAACATTTTTTATCCGAAACACTTACTTCTAAATCGTTTACTTTACGAAATATAAAACATAATTTTCATTAAAATTGATGTTTTGACACTTTTCGTATTTACATCCGTTAAGTTGGTATAACTGCTTAATGAAATAAACACGAGTAAAGGAAATACATTTAGAGTTAATAACGAACATTTTTTATCCGAAACACTTTGTTCTAAATTTTTTAATTCTCGAGATATAAAACATAATTGTTGTTAAAATTGATGATTTTGACATTTTTCGTATTCACATCCGTTAAGTTGGTAGAACTGCTTAATGAAATAAACCCGATTAAAGGAAATGCATTTAGAGTTAATAACGAACATCTTTTATCCGAAACATTTTGTTCTAAATTTTTTAATTCTTAAGATATAAAATATAACTTTGTTAAAATTAATGATTTTGACGTTTTTCGTATTCACGCCAATTAAGTTGGTATAATTGCTTAATGAAATAAACCTGGTAAAAGGAAATGCATTTAAAGTTAATAGCGAACATTTTTTATCCGAAACATTTCGTTCTAAATCTTTTAATTCTCGAGATACAAAACATAATTGTTGTTAAAATTGATGATTTTGACATTTTTCGTATTCATGCCAATTAAGTTGGTATAACTGCTTAATGAAATAAACCCAATCAAAGGAAATGCATTTAGAGTTCATAACGAACATTTCTTAATACGATAAGTGATTAATATCATATTAATCCAGAACTGATCATCACATTGCTACTGGTATAATGATATTTGTAACTCGAATTATATCAAAATTTTCAAAAAATCGCAATAAATCGGGATTTCAATAAATTGATGTGAAATTATCAGCGTATCTAGTTCAAATTATAGGCTTTCCAACGAAAGAAACGGATTTTCAAAATATTCTTTAGTTTTTGAGATATTAACTTTTAAACATCACAAGATATTTACTCATTTTTCGGGTTAAGTAACCTTTTAGATTCATTTTTAAAAAATCACAATAAATTGGAATTTCAATAAATCGTTATGAAACTATCAGTAAATCTTGTTCAAATTGTAAGCTTTCAAGTGAAAAAAACGGTTTTGCAAAATATCTTTCAGTTCTTGAGATATTAATTTTTTAAGATAATCTCATTATTCAGAATAAACAATTATTTTCAATCATTTTCAAAAAATCATAATAAATTAGGTTTTCAACAAATCATTATGAAATTCTCAGCACTTGTCATAGAAATTATCAACTTTCCAATAAGAGAAACGGATTTTCAAAATATCTTTTAGCTTATGAGATATTAATTTTTAAACATCACAAGATACTTAAGATAATTATAATCATTTAGTTATTTACAATCGATCAGCATACTGTTCCACTTTACAGCTGTTTTATAATAATTGATGACCTAATTGAAGCAAACCTCAACAGAAATTCTAACACTGCAGAACTTTAATCGCAAACTTCTCATCACTTTGATGATGATCTTTCCAATGCGTAATATCTTATGGATATTATCCGAAGACGGATGACACCCAAGAAATCACCAATCTTTTCATCAATCAGATAAAATATAAGGCACAATAAAAAATTAACTGATAATTTTTGAAAGAAAAATAAGACTTTAAATTAGTTTAGTCTTTTGATGATGGCAATAAGAACCAAAACTGGTGAATAGTAGAATAAATTTTTGTTATTTAATGTAATAAAATTTATTTAATAAAAATATTTGAAATAAAAATTAAATGTTTTGATTTAAATAAATATTAGGAAAAATTGGTAATAATATTAAAATAAAAAGTCAATATTTTTTAATACGACCGACAAAAAGTCATTTTATTTCAGCTCTCAAATAAATAATTAATATGTACTCACGCTCGGATTCATATCATCGATAACGACAACATACATATCTGCCTACTTAGCCTAACGCAATATAATACAAATACCGAATAATTTATATACATCGCACACAACGTTATTTATTTTTTTATTATTTTTCTTTTATTTCTCTATTAATTACAGCCGAAAAAAAAACGGCTTATTACAGTTACAACTATTACACTATTGCCTTCGGCCGTAAATGCGTGGCGACGGGAATGGCGCATTCACTCGTATTTTAGGAACGTAAACTATAGCACTGGACTGTACTCGGGGGGTATCACAATGAACGAATTTAACGAACGAAAATCGAACTCTAATTTACTACTTAACAGTCTTCCTTTAGTATTTTTGTCCGATGCAGTCTTGTTGGTAATAAGACGTCGGCGTCGGTCTGTAACTCGGTGGACTCGGTGAAACGCCGGCACCGTGTCGAAATCCAGCTAATTGACAACTCGGTGGGGCCCCATCGAAAATTATATCACGATAAGTCGAAGCCGTTGTTGCGGATTCCGGTGATGTTTCGGGACTGTACCAAGGACTGTATCTCGGGGTTGAATCTTCGATGTATTGTTGAGGAGCGGTCGGACAATAATACATCCCCCCTGATGAATGAAGTCTTGGATTTGTATAATTATGAGATTGATCCGCCCTATTAGTAATAAGACTATCAACACTGAAAGTGGTCGGATCCATAATTGAGGCGGCAACATCGCCGATTATGTGTTCTTGATGAACGATAACCGATTTGGCGTTCATACATTGGGAAAGTTCGTTCGGTTCTCGTTTCGGTTTGCATTCAAGTTTAGTTTTTGTTTCTTCGATTTTTTCCGTTTCTCGTTTTGGTATGATTTCGCTTTGAAGTTGTTGCCGTTTCAGGGCTTCCTCTTTTTCTCGGAGGGCGTCTTTTTTCTTGAAACGCCTGCGTCTACGCAAATATGAGCCGTTATCGAACATGTTGTACGAATCGGGGTCTAAAGTCCAATAACTCCCTTTTCCCGGTTTTTTGTCGTCCCTTGGGACTTTAACGAAACACTCGTTCAAACTAAGATTATGCCTGATGGAATTTTGCCAACCTTGTTTATTTTCTCTGTAGTAAGGGAAACGTTCCATGATGAATTGGTAGATGCCGTTAAGGGTGATTTTTTTATCCGGTGCGTTTTGAATTGCCATTGCGATTAATGCGATGTAGGAATAGGGAGGTTTGACCATATCTTTGGCGGAGGTGAGTTGATGTTGTTGGTGAGGCCAAGCCGGATATCCATATCTGGAGTATTGTTCGTACGTGTAAGGATTGGTGGCGGTGACGGCCGTGGCATATCCGCCACCGTGGCGATAGTAAGCATTCTGGGTTTCGCTAAAAATGGTGTGCATCGTGGGGTTTTCGAGCGCCGGGGGGCCGAAGGGTTTTCTGTTTTCGTTTGGCTCGATCTTCCGAAAACAATTTAGCGTTCACTTAATATTATGATACACAACATGGGCCGGTTTACTCAGAGATTAAGTAAAAACACCGTATGTTGCTTCTTGCCGGGACGCAATGTTACTAATGAAAACAGACGTTGAAACGGCTGGTCCTGTTGAAGCGCGCAGCGATGTGGCGCAGCACCTCCTACGGGATCCCAACCAATAGGATGGCAAACTCCACCGCCTTCTTCGATCAATTCGCAACCGTCCTAAGGGGGCCTTCGGCCTATGCCTATAGTGAACAGTTTTTTTTGCCCGAATCGAAAGGGCTATAACAGGAGAATCCTTCGCCGTTCCTGGAAAACCCGATTGTTACCCCTATTCATTTCGCTCCTATTTTCGAAATCAACACACGTGGGGATGTTTTGTGTACCTTGGCACGGATGGTCGGAGAGACGTCCAGAGAAAACAGCGTCGAGGCGCTTGTGGATCGCGACGCGACGCCTCAGTTTGCTATCGGCTTCCGAACCACGTGTTCTGCGCGGTTTTTCCACCGACCACCTGTTTAGAAAAAAAGTGCGCGATTAGTTAATATCTTCTTCTTGGAGAAGTCTTCTCGGCGAAGACGTCCCGGTGAGAATTCTATTGTCAAAGATCACGTACTGAATTATCTCGGTTTCGAATGCCGTTCACATCTGGTATGACCCGGTGCGAGTCTAATTTACTGCTTTTCGGGCACACCGCAAGCACTAAAACGTTCGCCGCAGGCTTCCGCAAACTGAAATAACAACGAAGCCGCGCGTATCTTGACGGTTTTTCAGCGCGAGTGCCGACAAAGGATCTCTCTATGGCGTCGCGAGATTACAAGATTCTTTAAGTAAACACTACCATATTGGTTACTTCCGGAAAAAAAGTTTTATGGTCACTAACTTATTAAGAAAATTTAAAAATAAAATTTCTAAATTAATCCATTAACAACTGGTTCCTACTTTTCTTGAACTCTGCGAAAATATCTAAGACATCATTGCAAAATTAACCTTCATTCGATGAACACTCTTCTCAATGAGCTACAACTTCGTATTTATCAAAAAATTTGATTCCAAAATACACAACACTTAACACTTTCACTTAACACTTTTAAAGAAGTTAAGAAATATCATCGTAAATTATATTGTCCCAATAGAAAGATTAATTACATTTATAACATTTTGATTACACATTGTATTATATTGAGTTATAAGAGATTGATCAATCTTTGTAGTCTCTAATATAATTTTTGATACATTCTTGCAAAATAAATTTCGTAGTTTCTAAACAATCGTTCTTGAAGAGCTCTATTTACGAAGTGTGTTATGTACTCCACTCCATTGTGATGTTATTAACAACAACGATGCAATGACAAAACTGAAACTCAATTTGTTTTAATTATAAAAATGAATTCAGTGTTTCCTTGATGGCGGTAGTTGATGATAACTTAAGGCTTATTACCGTTCATGTTAGAGCTTTAAAGGTTTGAAGCTTTAAAGATTTGAGTAAGATATCCTGAAACGATTACAAATAGTTAATTTTCAAAAAATCGTATCTTACTTATTTATGAAAATGAAGAGTCGATATACAGGGTGTGTCAAATGTCTGGAATATAGCCAATAACTTCGCTATTTGTGGTTTTAAAGAAAAATTTTTCAAATACAAGTATCATTATTAATCGTGGCGCATTTTTTGTTGGTATTTGCTTGTTTGTGTTGTTTTTTGTTTCATTGCTATGGCAACCAATATTGTTATTTTAAACGGGATGCATATGTTTTTTTTTTGCATACTTTGAACATATCAAATCATATGGTTGTATAAGAAAAAAATCGAGAAAAATGCGTTTTCTAAAAATATTAAATCAGTAATTTACAATCAAAGTAGGCACCGAAATAATGCCATTGACAGCTTTAAATGTCAAAAAATGACAGTTTCAACAATTATGAATAATTAATAATGTATGGGTACGGTGACACACATTTAATGCAGTTTCGTCATTGGTAGCTGTCTTCAGCCGTCCACTTTTTGGAAAGTTAACACTTTCGGTGTTAAGAATTTTTTTTAATATTTTGGATACTGTGGATTGTATATCCGGGTAAATATTATTGAACAGTGTACAAAATTCACTTTGAGTACATTTACAGCATTAATATTTGGATTCTTTGTTGTTAGCTTAATTGCGCCATATTTGTTTAAACTGTTAATTTTTTGACATTTAAAGCTGTCAATGGCGCTATTTTGATTGTAATTTGCTGATTTAATATTTTCAGAGAACTCATTTTTTCTTATACAACCATATGATTTGATATGTTCATCGCGTAGAGGGATTTATCTTCTATCAAAATATGCAAAAAAAACATATGCATCCCATTTAAAATAACAATGTTGGTTGCCATAGCAACGAAACAAAAAACAATATAAACAAGCAAATATCGCCAAAAAATGCGCCACAATTAATAAAGAAACTTTTATTTGAAACATTTTTCTTTAAAACCGCACATGGCGAAGTTATTGGCTATATTCCAGACATTTGACACACCCTGTATATTTTAAATAAAGGCTGAAGATGTACTCTTTCGAAATCTGTATAATATTCAAAAATGTTATATAAAAAGTTTATAGAAAAAAATGACGTTTTTTAGATTACCAAAAAGTAGTTGAGGTTCAAAAAATCATTACATCTTTATTTATGACAATGAGGAATTGATCTATATCTTAAATTAAAACTGAAGATGTACTCTTTCGAAATCTGTATAATATTCAAAAATGTTATATAAAAAGTTTTGAGAAAAAGATGTATGAATACAATGACGTTTTTTAAATTACCAAAAAGTAGTTGAGGTTCAAAAAATTATAACTTCTTTATTTATGACAATGAGGAATTGATCTATATCTTAAATTAAAGCTGAAGATGTACTTTTTCGAAATCTGTATAATATTCAAAAATGTTATATTAAAAGTTTTGAGAAAAAGATGTATGAATACAATGACGTTTTTTAAATTACCAAAAAGGAGTTGAGGTTCAAAAAATTATATCATCTTTATTTATGACAATGAGGAATTGATCTATATCTTAAATTAAAGCTGAAGATGTACTCTTTCGAAATCTGTATAATATTCAAAAATGTTATATAAAAAGTTTTGAGAAAAAGATGTATGAATACAATGACGTTTTTTAAATTACCAAAAAGTAGTTGAGGTTCAAAAAATCATAACTTCTTTATTTATGACAATGAGGAATTGGTCTATATCTTAAATTAAAGCTGAAGATGTACTCTTCCGAAATCTGTATAATATTCAAACATGTTATATAAAATGTTTTGAGAAAAAGATGTATGAATACAATGACGTTCTTTAAATTACCAAAAAGTAATTGAGGTTCAAAAAATCATAACTTCTTTATTTATGACAATGAGGAATTGATCTGTATCTTAAATAAAAGCTGAAGATGTACTCTTTCGAAATTTGTATAATATTCAAAAATGTTATATAAAAAGTTTTGAGAAAAAGATGTATGAATACAATGACGTTTTTTAAATTACCAAAAAGTAGTTGAGGTTTAAAAAATCATAACTTCTTTATTTATGACAATGAGGAATTGATCTATATCTTAAATTAAAGCTGAAGATGTACTCTTTCGAAATCTGTATAATATTCAAAAATGTTATATAAAAAGTTTTGAGAAGAAAATGTATCAATATAATGACGTTTTTTAGATTACTAAGAAGTAGTTGAGGTTCAAAAAATTATAACTTCTTTATTTATGACAATGAGGAATTGATCTATATCTTAAATTAAAGCTGAAGATATAGTCTTTCGAAATCTGTATAATATTCAAAAATGTTATATAAAAAGTTTTGAGAAAAAGATGTATGAATACAATGACGTTTTTTAAATTACCAAAAAGTAGTTGAGGTTCAAAAAAATCATAACTTCTTTATTTATGATAATGAGGAATTGGTCTATATCTTAAATTAAAGCTGAGGATGTACTCTTTCGAAATCTGTATAATATTAAAAATGTTATATAAAAAGTATTAAGAAAAAGATGTACGAATACAATGACGTTTTTTAAATTACCAAAAAGTAGTTGAGGTTCAAAAAATCATAACTTCTTTATTTATGACAATGAGGAATTGATCTATATCTTAAATTAAAGGTGAAGATGTACTCTTTCGAAATCTGTATAATTTTCAAAAATGTTATATTAAAAGTTTTGAGAAGAAAATGTATGAATATATGATTTTTTTAGATTACTAAGAAGTAGGTAGCAAAATTTCAAAATACTATACATATATTGTGATTCCTGAAGATGGTTATCTACCGAAATCGGTCGTATCAAAAACTGTCACAAAAAATAAATTTATTATTATGCATATGCTATTTTGTAGAGTATCTCAACAATTCTACTATACTAAACATAGATTAATAGCCTTTTTTTAAATTTTATTAGAATTCATTCTAATCTAATATGTCTAATCTAATATACAAATTGTCTTGAATTTAACATAAAAATCTTTCCCTGAAACGAGTTATTAAATAGTGAAAGTTTCAAAAACAGGTGGTGGTCAGTTATGCTTATAGAAACTTCTAGCGATCCCAACCAAAAGCTCATCCTTGAGGGCTTTACGTAGTCCTTCAGTGTTATCTTAGGCTAGTTAGGTCAAAGTTTACCTAAGACCCTTCCGATAGCCACCTCTCCAATAATGAAAAAAAATCCCCAAGAGATATTTGTGGTTCAATTCTAAATCCCTATTACAAAATCAACAATGATAAATCCACAGATTCTAGATCGTATTGATCTTGCAAGTTAAATTAAGGAAATATAAGAGATATGTTAAAATGTGCGTTATTGCATCCGAGAAAGGACGGCGTCACTTCGTCGTAGAGCGGATCCGGAGCAGATGTAACGCGTCAACGTCATTTCGGACGTGTTCTGGACCTCCTGTAGACGTGGAATGAATCTACCATTTCACTCCCGGGTATATTTAGGTTAGTAATTTGATCATTTGTTTTATTTTTTGCCGGTGAACGAGCGGCGTCTTGGGCCTAATGCGTCCGCTAATGTTCCACGACCCCGATGCCCGCGTCCGGAGGC